CGCTACAAGAACGGACCGGACTATAAATCTTTTTTAGGTAGTCCATGCCGAGCTACCATTACGGCATGAAGAGGAGTGGACCGTCCAGGTCCTTAGGGGAAATAAAGAGGAGACATTCTCATTAGCTAAAAGATCAGATAACGAAGGACCAATGCACTACGAAATGACATCTGAGGATTATATCGGGGCCAGGATCCATCCGAAACAGGCTGGGCGAACGATTATTCGTCAAGGAGGGGGGCACGGTAGGCCATTAAGAGGACGAAGCGAGATCTGATAATCCCGGGATTGTGAGAATGTGGAAATCGTCGAGGACGATCTGCTGGATACGGTGGTGAAGAGGGTCTTCCAGTCTTTTTCTGTTACGTGAAGCGAGTCGAGGACGGAGGAAAAGAGGGGACCGGCAGGGTTTTTTTAAGTAGACGGTGCGGAAAGTGTTGAAGTCACGTCGTGGGCGAGGCCCATTTCCGGCTCCGAAAGTCGCAGCCAAGCCTTCAAGGCGTCAAGGCTTCAAGGCCAATTCAGGCACAGTTTGGCAAGTGCACGTTTTGCCCCCGCTCGCCGCCTGCCCTCGCCTCTTTTCCCTGCTTCCCCTCGCAATTCCTTCTTCCCGACGTATTTCTCCAATTCTGCCCGACCGCGAGACTGGTCTCCTGTTAATCCCTCACCGCAACTGCTGCCTGAACGTATCCAACGCAGTCTTCTTTTTGGGAGCTCCCAACCGCGGAAGTTGACGCGAGGGGGAGGAGACGAACCACAAAAAACCGCGCAAGAGTGTCGTGGGCGGTGACGCTGCGAACGACCGAACTAGTACCAGCCGCTAGTGAGTAGTCTACCCAGCTCACCCACCTTATGACTCCGAGGCGTCTCCGATAATCAATCTTTGGGAGGACCAAACTCTTTGGGGCGCGGCAATTCGGTCAACCCGCAACCTCCACACACTTTTTTCCCTCGCTTTACTCTTATTACTCACTCTTGGCCTCCTCCTCCTTCCCACCAACCCTTTGATATTCTTTCTCCTTGCTCTCTACTCACCACCTTCTTCACTCCTTCCAGACTTCTTGTTCAAGTAGCTGCGAAAGCTGCCGCATGCTGGCTGGCAAGATGTTCTCCCTTCGTACCGCAGTGCGGAGAGCTTCCACCAGCAAGCCCCTCCGAGCGCTCTCCGCACCGCACGCCGTTTCTCCTGCGAGACTCGCCTCTGCTCGTCACTCCCTGAAGGCCTCTGCCGTGCCGTTGCTGCAGGGTCGCCACTATTCCCGTGCCGCGGATCCCCAACTCTCGTCGACCCGGTCCACCGTTGTCCAGTTGCTGAGTAACATCGGTTCCAAGCGTGAAGTCCAGCAGTACCTCTCGCACTTCACCTCCGTCTCCTCCCAACAGTTTGCCGTCATCAAGGTTGGCGGTGCCATCATCACTGAACACCTTCACACTCTTTCGTCCGCCCTCGCGTTCCTCAACCATGTCGGACTCTACCCCATCGTCGTTCACGGTGCCGGGCCCCAGCTGAATCGCATGCTGGAGGAGGCCGGCGTGGAGCCACAATTCGAGGATGGTATCCGGGTTACCGACGGCAAGACCCTGGCTCTCGCCCGCAAGCTGTTTTTGGAGGAGAACCTGAAACTGATCGAGGAATTGGAGCGCATGGGTGTGCGCGCCCGCCCTATCACCGCTGGTGTTTTCTCGGCCGACTATCTTGACAAGGAACGATACAACCTCGTCGGTAAGATTAACGGAGTGAACAAGACTCCAATTGAGTCCGCAATTGAGGCGGGCTGTCTCCCCATTCTAACTTCCATGGCCGAAACCCCCGATGGCCAGATTCTCAACGTCAACGCGGATGTGGCCGCAGGTGAGCTGGCCCGCTCCCTCCAGCCCCTCAAGATTGTCTACCTTGCCGAGAAGGGTGGACTTTTCAACGGCGACACCGGCGAGAAGATCTCCGCGATCAACCTGGACGAGGAATATGAGCATCTGATGAGCCAGTGGTGGGTGCGCCATGGCACCCGCCTGAAGATCAAGGAGATGAAGGATCTTCTCAGCGACCTTCCTCGTACCTCCAGCGTTGCGATCATCCACCCCGCCGATTTGCAGAAGGAGCTCTTCACTGATTCCGGTGCCGGTACCCTGATCCGCCGTGGTAACAAGGTGCACACCAAAACTTCTCTCTACGAGTTCGAGGATCTGGAAAAGCTGAAGGATGTCTTGGTTCGTGACCGAGAGGGTCTGGATGCCCGGGCTACAGTCGACCGCTATGTCGAGGGACTCCAGGAGCGCGACTTCAAGGTCTACTACGACGAGCCTATGGAGGCTTTGGCCGTGGTCCTGCCTCCCCAGAAGGATGCCGTTACTTCTCTGGCCCACCTGGCCACCTTCACCATTACCAAGTCGGGATGGTTGACCAATGTGGCTGACAACGTTTTTGCGTCCATCAAGAAGGATTTCCCCAAGCTGGTGTGGACGGTTAAGGAGGACGATGAGAACCTGACCTGGTTCTTTGACAAGGCCGACGGTAGCCTCAGCCGTGAGGGCGAAGTTCTCTTCTGGTATGGCATCGAGAGCGGTGATGAAGTCAAGCAGCTGGTCCAGGAGTTCAACCAGAATGGCCGTCAGATGTTCGGTGACATCAACCTCGAATCGCGACTGCACCGGGCCGCCCAGGCTGCCACCAACATTGGCAAGGGATTCGGCGCTAGCGGTGCTTCGACTGAACAGCGCCGTGCCTTCTCGACCGGTAACGCACTGCGTACTGCTCGCTCTGCCCGCCCTACCGTGCCCGTGACTACCGTTCGCACTTATGCTACGACGAATCCCAACCCTCCTCTGGGCGAGAAGAACATGTCCAACACCCAGCCCTCTAAGGTTGCTCTTATTGGTGCCCGGGGATACACCGGCCAGAATCTCATCAAACTCATAAATGCCCACCCTCACCTGGATCTGCGCCACGTTTCGTCTCGCGAGCTGGCCGGCAAGAAGTTGGAAGATTATGACAAGCGCGAGATCATCTACGAAAACCTGAGCCCCGAAGACGTCAAGCGCATGTCGGAAAATGGCGACGTTGACTGCTGGGTGATGGCCCTGCCCAACGGCATCTGTGCGCCCTTCGTCAACGCCGTGAACCAAGGCTCTGAGAAGGGCAACGTCATTGTTGATCTGAGTGCTGACTACCGATTCGACCCCAACTGGACCTACGGACTTCCCGAGCTGGTCAGCCGCTCCACCATTGCTCAGGCCACTCGCATTGCCAACCCCGGCTGCTACGCCACCGCGGCCCAGATTGGAATTGCTCCTCTTGTTTCCTTCCTCGGTGGCCAGCCCACTACTTTCGGCGTCTCTGGATACTCGGGAGCTGGTACCAAGCCAAGCCCTAAGAACGATGTCGAGTTCCTTACCAATAACATCGTCCCCTACAGCTTGACTGGTCACATCCACGAAAAAGAGATCAGCGCTCAACTCGGAACCAGCGTTGCCTTTATCCCTCACGTTGCGGTCTGGTTCCAGGGCATCTCCGTAAGCATTCTATCTCGTGTTGTCTTTGCCCAAATAAACTAATTATCTCTTTTTGTAGCACACCATCAGCATTCCCCTGAATCAAAAAATGACCTCTCGTGATATCCGCAACCTTTACCAGGAACGTTACGCCGGCGAGAAGCTTGTCAAGATTACCGGCGAACCCCCTCTTGTTAAGGACATTGCCGGTCGTCACGGCGTCGAAGTCGGCGGCTTCGGCGTTAACAAGGATGGCGATCGGGTTGTTATTTGTGCCACCATTGACAACTTGTTGAAGGGCGCAGCTACTCAGTGTCTGCGTAAGTCTTCTACCTGGTACTTTTCCAATGCATCGCGCTAACAATTCTCTAGAAAACATGAACCTGGCCCTCGGATACAGCGAGTATGAGGGAATTCCCCTGGATTAAAGTATTGCGTTTCGGTAGAAAACGCACCACGTATAACTGACTGTCGAAGGGTACGTGTATGAAGAATTGGGGCCTGTTTGTTTTTCTTTAAACCGAAGAAGCATTGTTAGGTACCCGTATCCTGAGTACCCTTTTCTCTTTATCTTTTCTGCGTGTCTCATACCCCGTGTGCATCTCAGCCAGTTGCTATGGGTTGGACATGATCTCCAAGAGGGTCGCCTCTTTGCATCCATTTTCATAGTCAACCTTGCCATGTCTCTATCCTATTTATATCTATCTATCACCTTCACTTGGATTCTCAGTCTATAGAACCCTATCTGCTGTCTGCAAATGTTTGATTCTCTTTTATTGTTCTAGTCTTTCGGCCTGCGTTTAATGGGAGCCTTTTCTATATCTCGTTGGCCAATGTTATTTTCGGCGCTGTGAGCTGCAGAACATAGAGGGAGGAATCGAAAAGCTTTCTTTACCTGTGTACTTTTGTTCTTGGGATATACTAGTCTTTGTTGCATCTTTGCAATGCGCTCATTTGAGGCTTTTTGACTCACAGGGTTTCTTACGTAAATAATTCTTGCCAGGGCGAAATGTCAGTACTGTAGTAATTTTGAGAGTAGGATGCTTCCCGACACCGAGGGTTAAAGATGTTTGTCTTTGGTTTGTCTGGCAATTGGTGGCCTTCCTAAACAGACACTGCCCCGGACCCTCTCTCAGCTCACTTCCCACGAAATACCTTCAACACCGACCAGTCTTTACATTTCCCTTTTCATCCTTGCAATTTAGTCTTTCACCCCTACACTTGGAGATCTTTCATATCCATCAATCTTACCCATTCCTCGGACTTCTTTTCTATACAAGCCCCCAGTCTGTCGAAGTCTCGGCCTCTCTCCCCCAATCGACACATTTATCAAATTAAGATACCGATTTGGGTCTGAGACTTGGATGACTGGTTTTCGCTTCTCCTTGAATCGCTTGACCTGACCCCATGTATCTTACCCTCTCGTCCTCGCGTTAGTTGAGTGTTCAAGTTGTGAGTGACGAGACAAGACGGTCCACGACTGCGCTTAGACCGAGAATAAGACAGCCAAAATGTTTTACAGTCACGAAAGTAGGTCCAGACTCGCTCCTTGCATATTGTATCATTTTATAGCAGAGAAAATATCGATGCATGGGCCACTAAACTTGCTGTTTCCAACAGTACTCACCTCTCCCGAACACGGTGTCGCTACGATATGGTGAGTGATCCTCCACAACCTAGGAGTTGTTATCTAACAATAGACCGTTTGTTGCATAGGCTGGTCGCAACGCTAGGACCAAGATCCATTACGAAGAAGCTCAACAGAAAAGCGATACTGGACGTTGACGTTCCTAAAGCCTGCAACGTCATCATGGACCCTGCGGCGCCAATGGCATTGAGACTTCAAGGAAATTTGCTGTAGGTGACATTCTCACCAGGTTGGATGGATTCGGGGTTACGGATGCTAACTCTTGTGTCTCAGATATGGCGTTTCAAAGGTGTACAATCAGCAATGCGGCTATGCACTGATGGACGTCCAGACGATGCATGATAGAATGAAAGTGATGTTGCGAGTTGTACCGGGGGGAGGACTGGATCCATTAGCTGGCAAGGCTAGGTAAATGGTTTTCGTTACCTTCTTCTGATTACCTTTTTCGGTGCGACAGTATTCTCAAACAATAGTTTCTCCCTAGACCAGATCAACTGATCCTTCCTTACGATCCCTCATTTGCGCCCGAAAATGACATTCCCGGAATGGATATCGATCTATCGAAATGGATAATTGCGTTTGACGCAGAGACAAATCAGGACTCCGATCTCGAGTGGCCCAGAACTCCAGACCTCAGCCAGTCCGCTATCTCGCGCAACACCAGCCTGCAGCTCAGCTTTTCCTCCGCGGATATAATGATGGGAGATCTGGTGAGATTTGGCTCGGAGACTGATGTGGGCTCTGTGCAACGAAGCACAGACTTTGCGAGACTTGCGGTCTCTGCCCTTGGTGAAGAACAAGGGATCCTGCTTCAACCTGACTTTGAGTTTGATGAAGATGGAAATATCGTTGAGCTGGGAGGACCTCATCTCCGAGGTGAAGTTAGACAGCAGAGTGAACGCAGGTTGGAAACACCTACAATCGTTGCACAGGGAGATATCACAGTGGATGATATCTTTGGTGATGATCAAGTTAGTATCTGGACTTTTACACTGGAAGTTATCTAACAAGACGCTGTGCTAGCTCATGAACATGAACGACGATATAGTCCTCAATCTCGAAGACCGAGCTCATACCCCAGAAGCAGATATTCGGCAATCTATCGAGCACCAGACTGCAGCCGAAGGAAGAGACGAAATGGATATCCGTCCAGATGCAGCTGAGGCCACAATGCGCCAGCCACGACGACGACCCATTCAACTGATACCTCTAGACTCTTCGACTGTGTTGCAAAATACCGAGCTAGTAAACCAGATGGATAAATACTTGCACAACATGGCTTCTGCTTTGGAGCAGCGCCAGCAGAACCAGATTTCCCTCCAGGCCAAGGAAAACGCAGCCTTCTGGGTTTTCGGTAAGGGAATCGGCTCCGTCGGTATAGGTGTGGGTGTCACCCAGTTTGCCCACCCTCTGCAGCTTTTCTCGGGTGAAGAGCTATATGATAATTTAAGCCCTTTGGGTATGCCTAAGAAACGCAAACGTGGTCGTCCAGCAGGCAAAAATGGCGATGTGGAATCGGAATCACGCCGCGTGCGCGCAAGAGAAGAGCTCGAAGAGCAAGTTGGTCGTGGTGACGATGATGGCGTTATTAACTGGCAAGAGGTCTGCGACCTACCACATAATATGGACCATCAACCCGTTACTAATAGATTTAATATCTATAGGAAGTTGAAATCGGCCGTCAAGCCTCAGTCATCCGTGAGGACAGCTCGATCATGCCCTGGAACATCACCGCATCTGTCCAAAGCTCCCACCACGGCTCCGTCACCGCGAACATCTTCCGCGGACTAGGAAGCGTCAGTGACTTTTCTTCCCACGGATTTGGCGAACCTTCAGGACTGGGACTACAACGGAGCCGTTTGACCAATGCCAGCCCCCTCGCCGGACGCGGCTATCCACCCGACATAGAAGGACTTCCTGGTTTCGGAGACAACGAGCTCGAAGACTTCGACCTGAGCCATTACCTCCAGACCGAACTCCACGCCGACGATTACGCAACTGCAATGCCCATGGACCTCGACACCACTGGCTCAAACAAAGGCAAGGAACCAATGAGAGACCCTCCCCTCCCTCTTCGAGAACGAATCATACAATCAAACCTGGATCAAGACAGCTTGAACTTCCTCGAATTCGTCATGAAGAAAATCGAGGACTTGAGTATGAAATCGACTGAAGAGGACCAGGTACAGGCAGACGCGGATCCATCCATCCAGTTGAAAGGCCTACCTTTTTCGACTCTGCTCCCGCATAGAAAAACCTCCCGTGCCGTCGCGACCCACGGCCTCGCACATACCCTTGCCCTCGCAACTAAGGGTATCCTTTCTGTTAGACAGGATGCTTGTACTGATCTGACCACCGAGGAGTACGGTGCTAAATACGATTATGGAGAGATATTCCTGCGACTGGCATAGAAGATGGGACTCTCAACAATCTCTGAGTCCTTACTACGATTTATTAACCTACACAACACAACACGATACCCTGCATGTGCGAGTACAACTTGACCAGATTTCGTTTTCTAAGGATTATTTCTACGCTATTTGCGGTATTTAATATGCTTATTATCCGCCCTTTATCCATTATCCATTAATTTATTAAACTCGGTCTATGACCTGCACCAACTAACAAAGCAAAAACGAACACAAGATTCTGTCAGAGTAAACAACATGGAAGTTTCTTTTCAGTGATTCATTTTCTTCTATTGGTCCTCTAATTCATGGGTGGCTTGATCTTTTCGTCTTTTCTGTTCTTTCATCTTTCTTATCTACGATAGCACTTGACGCTCGGTGCCCTTCTCATTCAATCTTTCCAATCTATCATGGTATCTCAGCGATGTGCCTCTATGTTTTCTAATTTCTGCTCCTATTCTCATATTTATCGCGGGCTCTTTCTTTTCACGGTCCCTTTCCTGTTACTTTGTCTTTTTTTTCTCTAATGTGTTGTATGCTACATTCTTACAAGATATAACGAAAAATGAATTACTGGACATATGTCCTCAAAAAGCTTCCTCGTATTCCGTATCCTATGAACATAGGTAAAAAGGTAAATGGTGGCAGGAGCAGCTTCAAATCCAACCACGTCATCGTGTACTTCCCAAGTATTTGGAAGACATGAAGGCTTCAAACTGCTCGAAGGGCAGACCTTGAAGAAAAGAGTTTCCATCAGGGATAGAAGTAACTAGACAGTGAAAACGGATAGAAGAAATGATGATAATCGAGGCATTCGTTGTTTATCTCCAGAGAGTTGGTTTCTCATAATCATATTATTTTATTGAGATCATCATTTGCAGCTGCCTCTTACATTGTACCTAATCATCATAGATGATTATTCTGTCACGGCCGCGGCTAAGCCACCAAACGATGGTTCCATGATCTGGTATCTTTTGCACATCGGATTCAGTGCTAGGTGCGCCACTTCGGAAGTCCTTAATGTACTCTCGTCCACCAACAGCACCGATCTGGACGTATAGAGGTGCCAGAACCTCCTGGCTATGATCACGATCACGATCACAATCCCGTCGCACCTGCCCTAATGATTCAACATGTCCATCGCTATAGGAAAGTAGAAGACCCAGACATGGATGATGAGGCTTTTCCATATCCCTGTATACTTGTATCTTCGCGAGACCTTGGAGATGCCTGTGTCATATACCAATAACGCACTACCGAGCCTTGACCAGGAGGGTCTGCTGGGGGTTCGAAGCGTGGACCCGTTTCCACAGGCGGTGACTCCATCAACCCGACCTGATGTTGGCTGTTGCAGGTCACTCCAAACTCAGAAATGTACCTTATGGCTGGATCTAATCTGCCATGAAAGATGAGATAGCACCATCGCCATCCTTGACCAACGGGTGATACTCGTATTTATGGATGGTATCGGCTCAGAATTGAGGCCCGAATGTAACGGTTCTCCCTAGTGACGTTCGGAGCTTGGGTGAGTTAGGCGTGGACCAGGAAAGGGAACGGAGGGAGAGGCAGAGCGACTTACTACCAAGATAGGGTCGGCGGTTACTACCTGGCAAACCTTGACTTTCCGGATCCAAGCCGCTTCGATAAATTCATGTCTGTTGAGAGGGCAATAGATCCAGTATTTGCGCATAATGCTCAACCGTCGATTTATCAAGTCGACGAACTGTCTATATGCTTTCAATGGGCCCGAAAACCCGTGGGATTCCAGCATTCCTACCATTGGCACAGCAGACAAGGATACCTCTAACGTGGGAGTCGATTTTTAGATAATCCAGGCGGGAATGTTGTAGGGCTTGGTCAAAATTCCATGGGTGAAACTCAGGCGGAATATAGATGGATTACTTGAGCCGAGTTCGATGCTCCTCATAAAAAGGCCCTGTTTATGTTAGTTTCTGTTCCTATAAACGCTAGGGGACCCATACACCAGACTCCACATAGACCTCTGAATCAGTGTCTCTTACGTCCAGAATCTCATACCATGGCGACCCATCCCGTGAGGGATTCGTTTGGTGATCAACGAATTGCATCCCACGTATACCAATACAGTCAACCGATAGAACATTTTTTCTGATATTATCAGGTAACTTGATATGGTATTGCTCGGGAATGCTTGTCGATTCGAGCGGTTTGTCGCTGAGCCGTGCCACATAAGATACCCCGCGGTATTCGATTTTGGACATCCACATCTCCGAATTCAACCTCACCTTCTGACTCTGTGCTCCACCGGTTTCTCTCAGAACTTCATTCAATCGACGCATCTCACCAAGAACAGTCAAGTACCAACAGGGGCTAATTGATTCAACGATCTCCATCAGTATTTCAGCGGGTAATCGCCCCAATAATTCTTGTATAAAGCCGTTTTGAAAGATTCCTCTCGTGTACTTGCTAAGGAGCCCTTCCGATACCGACATGCTGTCTCTATGCTCGGTATGTTGACAGTCATAAGCGGACCTGGTTGCATCGCCAAACCTTTGCAGATCTTCAGAGGTAGGCATCTTGGAGGGCTCGTAGCTCGTTTCGAGAACATCGTAGCACACTTCATGAAATACAACCCAGAGGTATGACGATTGGTGATCCTGACTCGTGTCTACCGACAGGTTAGACGAGCAAAAGGCTCTGAGAAAAAGAAAAAAAAAAAAAAAAAAATGGAAGTATCTAGAATACGTGATCTAACAGTTGTAGGTTCTCTGCATAGCACGCAGAAAGAACGTCGAAAGGTGGATATCTAGTTCAATAGGAACTCCTAGTCGGTGGGATTGAGCTGGCATCTCGGATAGCGACGTGATATGTGTGTGCGTGTTTTCTGTATGTGAGGGGAGGGGAGGGAGGTGGCGAGTAAATGTATGAAATGACTCTAGTGGGAAGCCAGCCACGGCTTTCACGCCCCGAAGGCAGGGGGCTTGATGTGGCGTATGTTGACGGCGGGTGAACACCCCAAAGTCGCCCGGGCCGCGTCCAATCCCGAAACGATTAAGGAGGAGTGATTGGACAACGTCAATTCCATGTATACAACACCTAATAATGATCGATATCTCCTCCGCGGCGGTCCTCTACATAGATTACACTACAGATTTAGTTCAGGACTCTAGCGAAATGAAAAATGATTTTCGCTCTAAATGAATGAAAATGGCGATCATCCAAGGCACATGCGGTCTAAACGTATAGATGGGTCTTCTTATTCGATCCCTAGATAGTTGATCAAGTAATTCAATCGATTTCTTCAATTTCCAGGCCTACTAACTCTGAAATCTCATATTCCTAGACCCTCAAATCACACTAAGAAAGACTAATTCAGCGTGGAGCCACGGTCTTAAGGAAGATGGGGTGATCCTTCATAATCCTCATGCATGTTGACACAAGCCTCCAACAGAGCCAGGATCGACTACGGAGCGGGGAAAGAAGGCTAAACGTACAACACAATAGGGTAGAATGATAGTTGGGTCTTTGTGATATTGTCTCTACCTCTCAGTGTTATATGGACATCAACGCTGCTACATATATGTACATGCGCGATTCGCTCCTACGACACTTCGCTGAGCCCGGTCCTTCCTGGCTCAACGCCTCCATCTCTTGCCATGCTAAACTGGCAAACATTTCGTAGACCATGGCCATGTGTTTTGTTTTGTTGGTGGAATTGAAATCATGTATCGAAGAATGAGTCGGGGGAATCAGCCAGCGCAGCCGCAGTTCCTTGTGTTGCCAACCGAACAGAACTATATATTGTAGGCGAGTGTTGGTTCTATAGATCGAGAATGTACCGAGTACCGAATATCCCCGTCACCGTCATTTTCGGGCCATACCATGTACGGAGTACGGTACACCGGGCAGTAATACCCGTCATTCCATCCAGTTTCAATCAATTCAATCCTAACGAACCAGAAAAACCGCCAGTACAGCTGAGTATCTCCTCTTATCTCCGTGCTGCAGCCTGCATCGAGTATTCTGTTGATCAACATCATACCAAGCTTGATCTTCGGGCACGCGACCGCTCAGCGACGTGGTGAACACTGAACACCGACCACTGAACACCTCGGTTTAGCCCCAACAGGCAGCCACAAAAACACGCGATCCCCGTGGCGGTGCTCCTGGGGTCTTGGATCGACAGAAACAAGTCCTCGTCAAATCACCAGATTCTCAGCCCTCCAGACCGAAACCGAAGAGACAGCTGAACCTGCTCGGTCAGCCCGACGGTGCCGGCCGGACGTGATACGACGAGGTGTTACTGCGTCGTTCGATACTCTTACGCCGTATAGAGTATTTGTATAACTCACTAGTAGGACATACCGGACAGCTGGTGGTACGGAGTATCGAGGGATACCTTACTGTTCGTTACCAGTGTTGAGAATTTGTACTAGATATGAACCTGGAGTATTTGCATATTGTCTGATCATATGGTTGCTGTAGAATATATCCAGTACTGCGTAGTGCACGATAGTTCGTCTCTGCCCCATCCCCGACGCTGAGAGGAAGAAAAATGAGGAATCCCAAATTTTTTTTTTTGGTGGAGGAGGAAGTGCCGCGTGACAAATTTAGACTTCCCTGACTGAGGCACCAAGGCTCGCGTCAGCCGAAATTACGTGTTTGGCATTCGTACCGTCTTACGGCCTCCTTCAGCAATGACACTCTGCCGGTCGGAGTACTGGTCGATGTCGACAGGACTCGACAGGACTCGAGAGGAAGAGAACAATAACATCCATCACGATTCCAGGAAGGAAAAAGGGGGGGGGGGGGGAAAGGAATTAACCAGTGACTACTCAGTCCACTGACGTGGTCCGCCTCAGCGTGCGGGAAGCAAATTACGCCGTGTGGTGTAAGGTTCCGTCCTGACGAGCTCGCGTAAGTTAACCGCCACCGTCTCGTCAGGTCTCCGTCTCGTCTCGTCTTTCTTCCCTTTTTCCCTCCCTCTTGCTCTCTTCCCCCGACTCTCTCTCTCCCTCTCTCCCTCTCACTCACTCTCCCCCCTGCAAAGTCCCTTCCATCCTCCTCCCATCGCCCTGCCGCCATCCGCGTGTGGCCATCTCGAATTACCTTCTTTCTCAACCCGGGTCTCCTTGAACGTCATCCACCATCGATTTATTCAATTCTTACGTCGTGAACATGGGTCGTACCGTCGACCAGGAAGTTCACGCGGCGTTCGTCGAGTTCCGCGCCAAGGAAGACGATAAGGTGCGTTGAGCTGGCCTACCCGTATTTCCCGTAATATTTCACCACACCCAAACATGAACTGACCGGTCCGTTCCTGCTGCTTTACAGTGTCTCTCCGTCCAGTGCATCTACTGCCAGCAGATACGCGCAAAGAACACTTCGCGTCAGAAGCAGCATCTACTCGAGTGTCCGGGTCTCCGCGGTCATACCAACCCTCCGGCTCCTCAGACCCAGACCACCCCGTCCGCCCCGAACGGTATCGCCGCCAACGGATTTCCTCCCACCCCCAATGGCACCGCGACTGCCGCTCCGGGCACCGGCCCCAGTGCCGCGGCCATGCAAACTCCCAACGGACCCATGATGTCGAACGGCGTGGCTCCCCACGCGACGCCCATGCAGACGCCGCTGCCAAACATGCCCGGGCGCGCCTCTTTGCCCACCTCCGGCCCCACGGGGGGCGCCCCCTCGTCCGCGTCCGCCTCGCAACAGGCCTCGCGCGCCACGCCCAAATCCAAGCCCAAGACCTCCACCTCCAGTCTCCCCGCTCCCCCATTGGACGACGTCCACGCGGCGTTTGTTGAGTTCCGTGCGAAGGAAGAAGATAAGGTAAGAACGACCGACACCCTCGATACCCCCCGAGGACGGTAATTTGACAGACGAACAGTGCCTGTCGGTGCAATGCATCTACTGCCAACAGGTTCGCGCGAAGAACACCAGCCGACAGCGTCAGCACCTTCTCGAGTGTCCCACCTACCTCAGCGTGATGAAAGATTCCATCCCCGCCAACAACCTCCTTCACACCTTCCCCGAGGGCGACGTGGCCCGCTCCCTGCAGATCCCCGCTCCGTCCCTCGAACTCGACTTCCGCATGAGCATCAAGATGAACCCTCGCGTTTCCGTCGGACAAAGTATTTGGGGTCAGAGGGATTGGGTGACGTTTATCGGTGGTCAATGGGCCGGTAGATGGGGCAAGGGCGTTATCTTGGTGAGTCCCCTTCCTTCCCTTCCAGTCCCGCGTCAAGAAAGGACCACCCTATGTGTCTACAAAGCGGACAACTGCTAAAACTGTCAACAGCCGGGAGGCCAGGACTCTCAGATCGTGACCAAGGAGTCCACCACTAGTCTGCGGGCCAGCTACATGCTTCAGACTTCCGACGAGCCGCCGGCGTATATCATTGTAAAGACCAGCGGATGGTTAACGGGTGCGAAAGACGTTCTGGACAAGGTTAATGACCCCAACGCGGCAGACGCTATTAATCCTAATACCTATAAGTACCGGGTAAACCTCTCTATGGAAACAGGTGATGAACGTTATGCATTCTTGAACACCTTAATGTGGATTGGCAGTGGCTGCCGCAGAGGCCATGAAGGTTGGTTATTCCCTGCTCAACTCACCGGATACTCGCATGATGCTAACCCCAAAGCAGTCATCTTCGATGCTTTCCGCGTCAATTGATCTGCTACGATATTGCAACTCTTTTGTCGGTTTTTGAGCGAGTAATCACTATTTTCGATTGGGGAAAATTTTTCTTTCTTAACATTTTCGTTCCATTGCCTCCTTTCTTTCCATCACTTCAGAATATGTTTGATGTATTCTCTGTTTCAAAGCCTCCGGTATGGATGTTCTTTTCTTTTCTCATCCTCTGTTTCTTATTCATGGGTCCGCTGAATGCCGTTCTATGGAACATATCCAGCACTTTTCATCCTGTTCCTTCTGATGACAGCACCTGTTTCCTTTGCATTCCATTACTTCTGTATGGTATAGTTTTCATCTCACATCTCATTCCAAGGTGCAAGACTGTTTCAAGCCTTGGCTCGAAGTTTTTCATTTTCTATTTCCTTTTCAGTTCATTTGGTCTCTCTTGTCTTAATTTGGTATTGCAGTGGAACCACGATCCAGGGGCCTTGTACCTTTATTTCTTCTCAAGAGTCGAGAATGTTAACATTGTGCTGGTTTTCGTCTGGTCAGGTATTCAATGATATATAAATTGCCCGGGTACCTTTGATACTAGGTAGGAAGTAGATATGACGGGTATGGGTCCTTGGTACGGTGATATGTGCAAATACTAGCCGGTAGGGAATATATAATCAGAAGCTCGGTGTAGGTAAAGGGAGAGGCTCGTCTATTAAAGAGCCAAAATAGGACATCAAGATAAAGTTATCCAGCTAATTTAGACCCATGTCTATAGTTATAATTGTTTGTCAGGAATGATGGTTACAGTACATGTTGCGGTAAACCCTGGAGATACTCAGAAGGTACTGGTAACTGGGTATTTTCTGGCAGGTCTCGGGCTGTATCACCATCCTTAGTAAGTATGTACCTACCTACATTATGGTATTAACAATTGATTTTAGTTATCTATTTAGCTCGAAAATTACTGATACTTGCTAAAAGTTTCCATCACATACTAAATATACTTAGATATCTAAGCGTACTTTTGAAACCTGGTAGGTATCCGTGTCTCTATACTGATGGTAGCTATGCCGGTGTTAGCTATATACGCCAGTAAACGGAAACCAAAATAAGCTACGGTAAGGGTAACGGTTAGGACCGTTAGGTTACCTTAGATTAGGTTTTAACGGCTAACTATGTATGCACCTCACCACAGTACATACATAACTGAACCTAACATCCATACCTATGGCAGGGTAAGGCAGTATTTACCGACTACCGCGTTCTGGTTTTACTTTCATGCCATGTTGATTTCAACTGTACTGATGATACTAAATAAACTTTTATCTAACAAGCTTTTCCGGTACTATGTATGGAAGTGTCCAACTAAGCTCAGGGAGCTAGAATAAATGGAGCAGATTGAAGTAAATTCAAGCCGAACTGACCCACGTTTAATGATTCCACCTTTCTACTCCGTATACATACACACATACACACACTAGCGTCTTGCACTTCGTTGGTTAATTGCTATTGTTCTGAAATATGGAAAATCCCTGCATGTTAGAACATAGCTCCACATATAAGCTAAATTGAGACTGGACTGATCTTTCTCGACGATGTCCACGAGTAACAAACGCATTATGGGATTGAGGTTTCTATTCGAGAATAATAGAGGGACGCGTCTCTGCCCTGGTTCCATTAAGATATGTGTCCGGATGTATGTACATAATAATTCTAAACCGAATAACTATACAGTACAAATAAAGACTCGCGTGAGGATGCGGACTTATGCGATTTGCTCGTCGCGGACGAAAGCTTCTCGACCCTCTATACATAGGCGTTGACAGAAAAATGCTAACTGAAGTCAGAATGACTATTAAACCTGACTACTAGATACCTACTATTCTACTGTACCTTTAGGGTTATACAGTACCATAGTAACCAAACTCCCCTCAGTATGAAGCAAGGCTTCAGAAAGGAAGGAAAAACTTAGTTATAAGCATAGACAAGGTATTGAATAAATAAGTTAGTCTTGATAAATCCTGATAAAATTAATATCTGCTAGTACAGACGCTACATTTCACAATAACTGTATCCAAATACACAATCCTATTGAATTTAAATTCATGTTAACTGTAATGATGAATAAGTTTACCGGGCCAGTTTGTACACTGTACTGTACCTACCTAAGGGAGTTAGCGTTTGGCAGCAGGAGCTACATATGTTGGCGATACTGCCGCCTCTGTCCGCCTTCCTTATATGGCGGCTTGGCAATAGCGCTCAACCCCTTTCCATAGAGAATTCAAGCATTTCACTCCCGATTGAGTAGGCGATACAGCTATGTCGCTGTCATCATATACTTTCTAAACTCGTCCCAGAGACAAAGTGCCATCTCGTCTTGGTGTAAAGTCGGCTTCTTCATTAAATGTTCACAAAGGGCTTCTAGCGCCGCCGGGAGGGGGGGAATTCCGTGGGCGACCGACACCATTGGAGCGAATGTGTAGGATGGATTGTTTGCTGCAGTCGGCGACATGGGCCGTCTGGGATATTGTCAGTGAGTTGCTCTGGATCATTTGATGGATCGATTCAAGTTGTGGGGGTTTCAAATTTGGTGCCATGTTGCTTGGCGCAGTACAATACAGCAATTCAGACCTCTTTTGCGACTCCATTGGTTGAGCCATATATCCACAACTACACCCTGGGTTCCGAAATTAGATAAACATTAAATATGGAGAAAGCTTCTTCCACTCCGATATGAAAGCAAAACCCTGATGCACGGTTCAAGCAGTGGATGACAAAAGATTGATGAGCCTATGTGATTGTGTCGGCAGAGGGAAGAATCCAGTGCCCACACCGGAAAAAGAAGTATTATGGAATTGCTGGCCTCCGGCGACATTTCTTTGATATGTATTTTATTACAGAGCCTCGTTCGAACTGTGTTTCTCAAGGTTGCCATTGGATGAGGAACCCGGCAATCTTGCAGACTCGACGCTGGAAGACACCCACCCAAAGAGACATTGTGCAGCTTCTGTTAGTGGCACTTGCAACCCGGAAAGTGTGAGGTGACCGAGTCTTGTAAGGGAACTTGCTCAACAATTTGTCTTCAAATATTCTTGATCACAGCATGTGACCGAGGCTTGGATTATCTCTGTGCTTCAGCTCGTAGGCTGAGGATATAGCAACGTGTAGATAATAAAAACCACTCTCTAGAGAAATCGACCAGTTCCAGTGCCGAGCCAAGCGTTCAGAGTGCAACACCTCCATCTTTCACGTAGCCATTTCCTGCCCAGCCATTTGCAGTGTCTTCTTTTCGTGGAGTGTTTGTGTCACGAGTGATTTGTTTACCCTGCTCTTGAAGGATGTATCCAACTGCCCTCTAGTACTCGCTGCATCATTGTCCAATGTTCAAAGATGGCGCAGCAAGATTAGAAAATTCCAATTGGTTGTCTGCTCAAACAAGCATCTCCAAAAGGCTTGGCGAATTCTTTGGGTGTTCTAGGATCTCACTGCTCTACGTATTCTCAAGATGAAACCCTGGACATTGATCTGCCGGACAACCAATCGTCGTTTTGATGATTCTCATGGCTCTTTGACTAAAAGCGTTCAAGTCATGGCCCTGTGTTTCCTTCAGGATACATACCAGCTTTAAGAAGAGAGTCTCCAGTATTTGTGAAAGCCTGGATTAATACCTGTCAGACCTGTCTATTTGATGGCATGTTGAACTCACTCGTCCTCTGAGAATCCTATGTCTGTTTGTCCGAGTTGGTCGGGCTGTGGGTATTAGAGCAAGGATCCCTTTTCCAAACTCCCCTGCCAAAGTCTGATACCTTTTACCGCGGATCCGAAGTGATTTAATAACATCCAGTTTGCGCTTATAGTCTGGTGACCCCATCTCAAGAAAGGAAACGTTTCATTCAACATTCTCTTGCCTAGCTTTGCTCCAATGTTCTTCAAGGTTTTTTGGGCCCTTCTGGCATCGAGATCATGAGAGCTCATCGCGGGCACGAATCCTGCCGTAGACGGTGTAAAGATTCCACCACATTTTTGGAAAAGAGCCCAGTGTAGTGCTTTTGCATGATAACTGAACATGCAATATCTTGAGAGCTTTAATCGAACTGGATATCTCAAATACTGACAAAGGGAATCACACCCACAACAACCACCCATAAAACAGCCAAAACATCACCCAAGCAAGAAAATACCGCCTGGAAATTCGCTCTGCAAGAGACAGGACATGAGGAAACCTGGCCGCCAGATCATGCCGGCTGCCAAACCCCGTTGTATACAGCTGCAGGCCTAGTCGTTCCTCCTCCCCCAGTTCTCGGTACAGTATGTCCGTCTTGCGCTGACAAAAGTTGTACGACGTTCCGACGATGACATAGATGCGGGCGATGTCGTGCAGGGCGCCCGAGTGCCAGTCCACCGACATCCACACTGGCTGCGGCGTCCACGGCACGCGGCGCATCTTCATCGCCTCCTGCCAGTACGTTCGGAAGGCATACCGTTTGGCGGCGCCACTCACGGCGTGTACAGGGCCGGTGGATCCGCGTGCGAGATGGACGAGCAGCCGGTCGACGACGACGTCGACGGGCACTTCGTCGATGGTGGCCTGTATGTCCGGGTGCGGCAGCCGGGTGGCCATGCGGACGTGCCGCGAGGGTGTCAGGAGCAAGCCGGCGGCCAGCAGGGTCGTCGGCGTGGATTTGGGCAGGCTGAAGCCCGGATGGGGGAAGTGCTGGGCGGGGGCGACGATGGAGGGCCGCAGGATGAGCAGCTGGGCGGGGCGGCTGGCGTCGGCGAACATGCGCGTGAGGAGCCGCTCCGTGAGGTGTTTGGCGTAGGCGTAGGCCCAGGGGAAGTCGTGCGACATGAACTCCATCGAGTAGCCCTTTGTCTGTACCTGCGTCCACTCGTCTCGGACATCGGTCGACCAGCCGCGCCCAAGGGGGTAGATGGTCTCGTCGACGCGCACGTCCGCCTCACTGGTCTCTTGGTAGAGGAAGGTGTTGGAGTAGGCGGTCGAAACGTACACGAAACGCTTGAGCTGGCTGCACGCGAGGCCCATTCGGGCCATGCTTTCACTGGAGCGGATGACGGGGTCAGAGAGCTTGATCAGGGGATGGACCAGGTTGATTGATGAAGCAGCGTGGATGATGATGGTGAGTTCCCCCTGAAGCTTCTGTAGCATGTCGTTATCTAGGCCCATGCCGGGCTTCGTGATATCGCCATCGAGGACGCTTACGGGGCCTTCGCATAACATTTGGACATATCTGGGTGGAAGATGTTGTGCCCATAGCGTTGAAAGGCGTCTGTCCCAGAAGTTATGAGCATGATCAATGCTGGGGTAAAGGATGCTGGGTGAGGCTTACGGCAACCCGCCTCTGCAAAGCACATAGAGGTGGGCAATTGGAGCACTGGAGAGAAGACGGTAGGCGAGAGTTGTTCCCAGAAACCCCGAAGTGCCGGTGAGAAACACCACCTGGCCCTTAAAGTAGTCCCACATGGCGGATGTCGCGTTAGTCTGGTACCAATAAATATTAGGAATTAAAAAGGACTGTCGAGTAGACTGGATAATTTCAGGTCAATTCGGTGGTGAGATTAAAATAGCCGACAGTAAAGAGAATATACCCGGTATAAGACCATGTTGGAGCCTTAGTCAGTCAGCTGACCTACACTGGGCCGCTGCATCTCTAGAACCTCTGCAGCTGTAGTATTAGAAGGAATCAAGCGTTTCCATCCGATTTTCGAGCCTTATCAGAGCTATCGATCATCAGACCACCTTATTGATGAAATATAGTAGTGATCAATACCCAGCGAAAGATAAAGGATGAAAGTTTACGTCAAATATCTGCTTCAGCTGGCATTCAAAGCAATCTGATTAATGTGGCTGGCCAACACTGTCTTGACACCCCACTGTGCTGCTAGAAGCCTAGAACACTGCGATGCAGCAGAACTTGGAACATGAAAAGTCAAAGGGTCCTACCGTCCTGCCTGAACGGGGAGTTCGTGCAGTATCTGACAGGCTCTACATCAGGTCCGGAAATCATTGACAAATCTCTCTTTTCCTCCGACTCAGCTCAGCCACATCTTGATGCATGATTTGGCCGTAATTCCTGAATGGAGTCGCGAACAGGGTCTTCTCGACATAAGGCTAATCCATATCGAGCAAAACAAAAACAAAACTAATACTTGTGTGATTAGCATGGAAGACTCCGTGCATAAGGCCGAGCTATGCCGTAATCTATCACTGTAGGAGCGCATCCAGGGATGGACTGTCATGCGATGCAGGCGAATGCACATCCTGTCCCAGGGTAGGGGCACGACTGATGTCATCAGGGGTGTCAGTACCTGTCCCTTGCTTGTTTGATATCGCCACACCAAATCTTCAGCAGATCACTATCTAGACAACAAGCAAGGCAACTATCCAAGGTATGGCAGAGTGCTGTATGTATGTATTCAAAGGCAGTAGTGTGGGCCTGAGTGGTATCAGATCGAAGAGGTCTAGCATCTCCCACCTACTATAAGCGTAACAGTGCATCCTTCCAGCACGAATTATACCCTCATATTCAGAGCTGACTGCGCAAAATTGTCCAGATGATGCGTTCGTGTAAGGGGTTATCATTGCAAGACGCCATTTGAGATTCTTCGAAGGAAAAGGGTTGGATGGGCTTGGGCAATACTATTTAGCCAAAGGCCCAACCGAGTAGAAGAGCGAGAGCAGCCGACAACTTGATTTGTTTAGAGAAGGACCAAAGGACAACATGTTCACAGCATTCACCACCACGGTGTGCCTGGGTGGGCTTTCAGCCTTCCTCTACAGTCTTTACCATCTTGTTACACTCTTCCTTCACACGAGACGCTCGAAGAAGCTCTCCTGCCAGCCGTGCCTAGCCGTTCCCAGCGGCTTTCTGGGTATCAGGCTGTTCCTCGATGTAAGAAACGCACATCGTCAAGGGCAAGTCGCGAATAAGTTTCGAAGCATCCACCTACAAAATGGGAACACCGTTCGACTTGACCCCCCGGGTGGCAAGGTGATCCTCACCTGCGAGCCGGACAACATCCAGGCCATCCTTGCCTCTCAGTTCTCCAGCTTTGGACTGTCCTACTTCCGTCACCGGCAATACCATCCCTTGTTCGGGGATGGCATCTTTACTTCAGACGGGAAGCGCTGGGAAGGCTCACGGAAACTGCTGCGGCCGCAGTTTGCACGCAGCGAGGTATGTCCCTTTGACGACCCAGCTATGGTAGCGCCTGGTAATGGATCAGCAGCTGATTTACTATCCGACAGATCCCGGAGATCGGATGGTTTGACGACCATGTGAAGCGCTTCATTGGGGCTCTTCCCCCAGACGGCCAGGTCTTCGATTCCCAGGAGCTGTTCTTCCGCCTGGCTCTAGATGCCGCCACTGATTTTCTCTTTGGCGAGTCAGTCTACTCACTTTCTTTTGCAGCATCCAACCAGACTGGAGTGGCCGAGGCCTCGTGCGAAGGCCGACAAGGCTTTGCCGAAGCGTTTGACTACTCGCAATATGTGCTCTTCCAGCGCACGATAGCCCTTCACCTTTACTGGTTGGTAAATCCGTCCAAGTTCCGGCAGTCAAATAAAATCGTCCATCGATTCGTTGACTACTATGTTGACAAGGCGCTTCGCCAGGCGGGCCGAGAGAAGGCTGACAGCCAGCAGCGATACTGTTTCCTCCAGGCTTTAGCCGGCCAGTCCAAGGATGCCAAGGTGCTGAGAGACCAGATGGTCAATGTGCTTCTGGCCAGTCGAGATGACACTGCCAGCCTGCTCAGCTCCATTTTCTACTTTCTCGCGCGACACCAGGACACCTGGGAGAAACTCAAGGCGGAGGTGCGGCAGACGGCTCATGCAGGCCCGGTCACGTTGAAGGAGGTCCAGAGCCTGCCATACTTGCGCGCTGTTATCAACGAAGGTGAAACCCCCTTGACTCCCAATCTCGTCTGATCAATTCCTCACTGACCTGTCCAAGCCCTGAGGCTATTCCCCCCGGTGCCCATTAACGCCCGAGTGGCCCACCACGACACTACCATCCCCGTCGGAGGCGGACCGGATGGCCAAGCGCCCGTGTACATCAAGAAAGGCCAGAGCGTGGTGTACTCGGTGTGGTCGGTCCACCGCCGAACGGATATCTGGGGACCAGACGCCGAGGTCTTTCGCCCGGAGCGGTGGGAAGAACGCAAGCAGAACGCATGGGAGTTTCTGCCTTTCAACGGGGGCCCTCGCGCCTGTCTGGGACGTAAGCAATGGACCTGCGCTCACTTCCATTTACTGTCAGCAAACTAACGCTCCGAACAGAGCAATTTGCCGTCGTCCAGGCCAGCCATCTGATATTTCGAATCGCGCAGGAGTTTGAGACCCTGGAGAATGCGGGTCCCGGTCCGGATCTGGGCACGCATCCGCCCATGCGACAGACGCTGACTATGTGCCATCAGAACGGCGTTCATGTTCGGCTGTACAGGAACAGGGCCTGATACTTTGCTTTCATGTTTATCCTGCTTTGGATTGATGCTTGATATTACAGACTGGTGGTGGATCTACAGTTGATGCAAATCCATCGTGTTCTCATCCTATGCTCTCATAACGTGTCAAGAAGTGAAGAAATGTTTCTGTTAGTTGCAGTTGACCAAATGAATTATCTTTTGCTACTTGCAAGAAAACGTGAGATGTCAGTCTTGTTATGATCTAGGCGAAACTAAGATAACTTTGATGTACACACATTGAGAACCCTGATGAGTGAAAGTACCGATTCTTTCCTTGGCCACAGTATACGCATCAGAATGGACATTACACTTGTCCATTCAGGAAGACAGACAAATAACTTTTATGTACCTATGCGTTTGCTCATAGAATACATAGGATCAAACCCCCTGCGATAGGCCATTTTTGTTTTAACGTCGCCGTTCACTCATACCTCCTTTCTTAAATACAAGAGTGCTGCTATACTTCATTCTTATAACAACAGGGCGTCAAATCCCAATAACTATTATAGTTGAGATGTAACTGCATACTGTAAGAATCAACACAACTAGAAGCATCTGTCGGAATGGGGATATTCCGTGTAATATACCAACCAATGGAATCCACTTGCAAAAATAGCTCTGATTCTCTATATCTAAGGCCTAGGATTGCAATTTCAAGAGGCAAGACGTTATTTACCATCGAGCGGTCAGATATCCCGCACACCCCCACCATGGCCAAGTTCAATTGTCAATTTGACCTCCTAAATGGACTCAAATTTGCAATCTAAATACACCAATCAAAAGCTCTCATTGATATTTACATGATTTTCGCGTATGTCCCTGTTTCCCGCAATCGCTGCATGTAGGAGGTGCTTTCTTCCTCGGCCGCTCATCTTCTTGTATAGATATATATCTTTGACTCTCTTCCTGCACGCGTCTCTGGGCCTCCTCTCTAGTAAGAATACCACCATTTTGAAGGTATGTCCTGCCTGTATCCCGCTTTCGCTTGTATCGGTTGTTGGTACCTTGTATATTGTTGACTTGCTCCTTCAAAAGAAGTGCCTTTGTCATAGGAATTTTGCAACTTTTAACTAGCTTATCAACCGCATTCTGTAGAGGACTTGGAGGGCTTCTTGTACGCTCCCTCCACATTCAGTTAATCAATTTGGACTGTTTTTTTTTTTTTAGATTCTTAGTTATTTCAGGTGTCTCTGCAGTCCATGATGATCCATTTAAATGAGAACTTCCGGGCGGAGAGGTAGGTGTATGAAGTCGAAAGTGTAAGTTATCCAGTACTCTCTCAGGTTTATATGGGACTAAACCTGTAGCTTCGAAGCCAGCAATGATATTGGAATCTGTAAGAGCCTCTGGACGAGCAATGTTCTTGTAAATATCCAGAAATATCCTCTTATCAATATGTTGAATGTTGGCTGCCATTAAGCTTTGCACCTCAGCTCCGTATCTCTTCTTCAATGGTCCAAAACAGGAAAGATCAAGCGGTTAAAGAAGACGAGGTGGATTTGGAGGCATGTAAAGAAGTATAATCTTGTTCTCCTTGCATAAATGATCAAATTCTGCAGTTGCATGGCTTCCATGGCCATCCGAAATAAGTAATCGATATGCCCCCACTGTCTGGTGTTTGGTATACTTATGAAAGACCTCTTTTAGCCAAGCTCATCATTAGTCATCAATTAGAACTTGTTGCAATTGTCCAATCAAGTGGAAATCCATCGTCCCACTCTTTTTGGTGTTGTTGGTCCCGCAAAGATTATCATCGGAGGAGGACTCGGTAAGTACTTTGAATAGCCTCAATTATAGTAACCCATTGTCGGTTCCCTGGATGGCATTCACGCGCTCGGTTGTCTTGCTGGCTTGTAGTGATCTAATAGATATGCTAATGTATTAGTTTGTATAAAAAATGTATAGAAAAGTGAACAGGAGCACCTTGCTTGTGGCAATAATCCCCATTGCAAAACCTGTCTCATCAAAGTTATAGATATCCTCTGACTGAATACCATACTTTGCAATCATAATGTTGACTAGTTGAAACCATTCTCTAATATTCTTTGGATCCTTGCATAAAGCACGCTGATAACCATAGCGTTTGGTGTATCGAGATCGAATATCTTCATGCCGGTTGATGAAACGGGTAGCCCAATTGACCCCGATGTCTTTTTGGGCTAAAATAGCAGCCATTTGGTGCACGATCTTGAATTGAGGTGCCAAATCTCACTTGTCTTCCTTTCAAAATATCCTCATCTAAATCATCAAGTTTTCGGCCATTTGCAGGGGTATCAACGCGGGCGGTTCGTCCCCTGAGGCGATTTGATATGGTTCTTTGATCAACGTCAAATGCAGCTGCCGCAGCGCGTTGACTTTTAATTTGAC